GGGGGTCGGTCTGGCAGCCGCAGGCAGGGCCGCGCTGGTCGTGGCTGAAGCTTTCACACAAAACCCCTGAGCCCCCCGCGGGAAGGGGCTGCTGGAGCCCCCCTGGCCCATGGAGCACGTTCCTGGGAAGGAGCCAGAGCAGAGCCCTTCTCGTGTCTGGGAAGGAGCCCCGGGCTCTGCTGTGCCCGGGCTGGGGGAATCGGGTGGGAACCACCCAGAGCAGCTCACCCAGGCCCTGCCCGGGGCCGTTATCATCTATAACGGACCAGACCCTGCAGCCAGAACCTGGCTGTGAATCCACCAGCTCTGCATTCCCCAGGGACACGGGGCTCACCCAGTGCCGAGCCCTCCCTGGCTCTGACAGGGTCTGACTGGAACTTAGGGGCATTTTTCCGCTTGTGAGGAGCCACATGAAGGACCCACAGGCACAGAGCAGGCTCAGGGACAGGTGTGCCTGGCTGCAGGGTCCTGAGCATCACCTGATCTCTCAGGGGTGGGTTTTGGATAGACATTTGGTCTCGAAAAAACAAAGGAAGTCCAAGGCAGAGCTGGGCAAGAGCTGCCTCCTCCTCAGGACCCACGGCCTGAGCCCAGGCCAGCAGGAGAGAACCTTCACCATGGACCCCACGACCTCTGCTGGCAAAGGAACTGGGAGGCTTAAACAAGACCAGCCAAAGGATTATTTTTTTTAAAGCTACAAGACCTTTCTGCACTAAAGCATAGAAAAACAAGTAGATTTTAAGCTTAGAAAGAGCCAAAAGCTGTTTCCTTCTTTTACCCTGCTTGTACCTGGGCTGTGTTCCTGCTGCCAGCACCAAGCCACTGGACCCCTGCCCCAGGAGACCAGGAGCTCCCAGCTGGGGATGGACATGCAAGAATGTCACCCCCAAAGCTGGTTTGTAAGGATTAGCCAGACCCTTCCCCCAGACCCTGAGAGGCTGGACCCTGGATCATCCCTGAGCACACGAGGCCTCACAGCTCCCTGGCTGGAGGGACAGTGAGGGGCTGGGGGGGCACCCCAGCCAGGGAAGCTGAGCAGGAGCAATTCCAGCTGAATATTCACCCAGTGGCACAGGAGGGGGGGTTATTTGCATCCCATTACTGGAGAACTGGGCAATCAGCCAGGGGTTTGACCTCTCAGAGGATCAGGACATCAGAGCCCTCCTAAACTGGTGGGAAACACGTGCCAGCACAGCAGGTTCCAGGTACTCATCCCCAGAGATCATTCACAGTCAAGTTTATAACTGAGCCAAAGAAGAGCTCAAGGTACCTGCAAGATGTTCTGCTCCACAGCTCTTCACTGGGTGGGTGGGTTTTCCCAGCAGGTGGTTCCCAGCAGTGCAGCCAGTGCTGGGTCCAGGCATGTGTGTGTGTGTGTGTGTGAGGGACAGAGGCTGCAGAGTCCCCATGAGCAGGGACCCCTGTCAGCCCAGCCTGGAGGGTGGAGTGTGTTTGTCCTGAGGTGCCTGTGATGCTGTGTGTCATTTCATGCTGTGTTCAGATGGACATGCTTCCAGAAATAATAAAATCCCTGTGTTCCAACCCTGTGTCCATCCCAGAGATCCGAGTCCTGCAGCCACACAGGAGTAAAATGAAGTTTGAAAACCCTCAAGAGACCTGGAAGAAAAAATGTCCCAAAACAAGGGCCAGAGGGTGAGACAGAGATCAGCAACGAGGGAAGCCTGAGCCAATGTCCAAACCACCCAGGAGAGCTGGATCTGGGGTGAAAAAGGTGGGAACTTGAAAGGCCAGAGGCTCTAGAGCAAGAAGAGACCAAGAAATACCAGACCCATGAGGAACAGCAAGTACAAACCTTTATTGAAAATAAGATCCTATAAAATAGGAAAGCAAAGGCCTTTTCCCACTCACTTCCTCCCAGCACACCCTGCAGGTCACCTCCACAGCTTGAGTCCTCAGTGAAGAGCACAGAGCTAGAGCAAAGTCCATGCTGGAAAAACATGGAATTGGGCCAAGTAACACAACTGCAGGGAATTTCCTTGGCTATCTGTGAAAAGGTGGACACCTCAGTGCCTGTAATTCCTGGTGGATGGGGAGCTGGGCAGGTGTCACACCTGGAAGAAAGAAGTGGGGCTGTGAATCCCCTCAGGGCAAACAGCTCCAACCCAGCCCCGCTGCTGCCCCGACACCTGCAGGGGTGCCCTGAGTGGAGCCTGAGCCACGAGGATGAGCAAGCCTCTGGTCTGTCCTCTCACTCAAACACAGAGCAGTGAAGGTTTTGGGATACTCTTTTCCTGGAGCAGGCTGCTCCAGGCCCAGGCTCACCCCTCACTGCACCAGCCGGTAGGTGATGTATCGTCCCGCGGTCTCGCTCGGCCGGATGATCTTCACCACCTGCAGCAACACCAGGAGCTGTGAGGGGCAGCACCTCTTCCCTGGGGGCTGCCTGCCCTGGAGAGATCCCTTCCCTGCTTCCAAGGGCTCTCAAACCCCACAGAGGATCCCCCTCCCTGTCCTGCCCCCGGATCTGTGTCTCCCTCACCTGACCGCGCTTTATCCCGAAGTACCGGGCAACGGGATCCCCGGCCTGTATCCTGGGGAGCTGGTTCTCCCTCAGTTTGCTGGGCTGGGAGTCAAGGAGAAGCTGCCCTGCAGAGCTGCCCAGGTGCCCCTTCGTTAGCACAGCTAACGAGCAGTGCCACAGGCCCTCAGACCCGGCAGGGGGGCAGGCACAAAGGATACTATCTGGCCAGCAGCTCCGTCACCTCCTCCTTGGTCATCACAACGTGCTCTGGGACCAGCTGCAACCAGCAGGGAGAGACACCGTGAGATGAGACCCATGTGGCTTCTCACAGCAGTGGGAGAAGCAACAGAAACTCAGACTGGATCCCGCACCAGCCCTGGATCCAGCTGAGGGAAGGTCCCTGGAGCAGCCAGAGCTGCAGCTCAGCACAGGACACTGCTCATCCCAGCCCTGCTCACCTCGTGTTCTGTGATGTTGATGAGCAGCTCTTGCTGCAGGAACTGCTCCAGGATGTACTTGGGAGCCATGTCCACCAGAGACTAGGACAAGAAAGGACCATCAGGCACCAGCACTACCCTGAGACAGCCCTCCCTGTGCTCAGATCCCCTCCTCCCCCAGCACCCAAGGCCCACAGCAGCTCCCCAGCTCGGAGGATTCTTTTCCACCCTCTGTACCTGCTTTGCTGAGGGGGTCATGCCCTGCTGCACCACGATCAGCGCTCGGGTGATGTTCTCCTCCTGCATCCTCTGGCAGTACATCTTGATGGTCTTTATTCCAACCTTGGGCTCCTCTGGGGAAGGACCCAGCCCCAGGGTTACAAAGAGCCACTTCCCCCCCCACCCCAGCGAACAGCGGCCCCCGGGCCGCCCCGCGCTCACCGGGGAAGAAAACAAACATCTGGTCGGTGGGATCGTCGTTATGAGCCACCAGCACCGTCAGGTCCGTGCGGCGGGGCCGCCCCTCGCTGGGTTTGTCACCGAACTGCGCCTTGAACTCCTCCAGCGTCTGGTCCAGC